CCTTGGATGTAGGGCCAGTGCAGCATTTTTCCTGTAGACCAGGACCCTTTGGGGAGTGGAAGGGGCATGTCAGCAATGACTGGGACAGAGGGTTTCTGCTTCCTACCAGCTGTGACACTCGCTTCCTACTATGCTTTCATGACACAGCCTGTCACTTCCAAACAGCGCTGGTTAAAGATGTGAGATGTTGTCAATGACTGTGGGCCTTTGAATTCTAAGCTCATGTCCCGTAGGTCTAGCTAATTATTACTCAAACTGAGAGAATTAGTGAATACGCACTCAAGAAGAAAAGACATTCACACATTTGCAAGTGTTTAACTATTTGAAATTTATGACACATTTATAGAGCAAAAAAATTCTGGGTGCCAGACGGTTGGCTCAGTTGGTTAGAGCATGGTGTGGGGGACACTAAGGTCCAGGGTTCAATCCTGACAACAGCCAGCCGCCAAAGAAGAAAATTTCTGGAAGATCTTAAAATTTCATTATAGGTGTAGATTTAAAACTAATAAAATAATTATTTCATTCATAAAATGCAAGCCATTCTGACAGTATTGAACAAAATCTTCCTGTTGTCTTGAAACATAAGATACATTTCTAATTAAAAGCAGTTCAATTCTCATTTTAAAAAACAATCTGCTTCTTATGAGCTCGTTGCCTTTGCTGGTCTCTGTTGATCATCTGGAGACGCTGGCGAGAGGCCTGTTTATATTTCTTGAAAGAGGGGGCTTCGCTGAGCTGCTCAGCAGAGGTCTCAGCCTTCCTGAGAGGTGCTGCAGTCCCTCCTTCGGTTTTCCTGACTCTAGGAAGAAATGGCAAAAGTGAATGGAGCAGGGAGTGAGGCAGCTGGAAAGGAGAACAAAGAGGTGTGGGGACAGTCACGATGACAGGTGGAGGAAGGAGGGACACAGGAGGTGAGAGAGCTCAGGGACTTAGTGAGAGGGAAAAAGAGGGATGGAGCTGGACGCCCCTGGAGGGAGCAGGTGACCCAGAGGAGGCTCTGAGCACAGGGGAAGGAAAGGCCCCTGGAGAGAAGGGGAGGAGAGGGCAGGGCAGACGGGGACCAGCCAGAGCAGGACGCCCTCACCTGGAGAATGTCCCGCAGCCTCCTCCACAGGGCTTGACTGTGTTCATCCAGCCCATGCCAGGGCTGAAAGGGCCTCCCCTGGTGGTCCACAAAGGTGTCCCAGCAGTGCCTAAACCCTGAAACCGGACAGAGGAGAGAGTCAGCCTCCAGCTGTGGGGAGGGAGAGAAAACAGGGTCTATGACTCTTGGGGACAGACTTGCACATCATAATTTCAGTCCACTGCTTTCTATTTCCCTCCCTAGGGACTTGGCTTCCTCAGCAAACTCTTTCTTCCCATTGGAAGCTGAGCCATCCTACTTCTTCTCTTACCGGAAGCCCCCAAGTCCTTCTTTCACTTCCAAACACCTTCCCTCCCTCCCCGGGACCCCATGTCCTGGCCTGGACTGTCTCTTCCAATAGAGCCCCAAGTGTGGTTCCAGATCTAGCCACGGCCTCTGCAGGCAGCAAACAAAGGCTTCTCCACCAGGGCTGCTAATCCTCTGCACCCATTTCCAGCCACTTCCCAGGGTCCTGTCTCTACCCACCACCCCTGTCCACCTCAAGGGTTCCACTCTGACCCTCGAAGTTCATGATGCCGATCTGCGCCCCAGCCCCCTGCAGTGTGCGCAGCCCCTGCTCGTATCCTGGGAGCCGATCATAGATGCGGGCAGCGAAGATGCGCAGCTGCACGTGGCTGTTACAACCCAGAAATGCAGCCAATTCCTGGGCACAGTTGCAGCAGGGGCTCCAGGAGATGAACCAGGTGACCCTATAGTGCAGGGTGGGGTCCAGCTGCCAGGAATTCAGCAGGTCCAGGAAGCACAGCTCTGCATGGCGGCGTAGCCTGGGCTCACAACCACCCTGTGAGAAAGAGAAAGAGAAGCGTGAATTCATTTGTTGGGGACAGGGAGGGAGGGCAGGAGCAGGCGCAGGCTGGCGAGGCACTGGCCTCCAGCGCAAATTTAGAGGGCACCGCATGCGGCGATCAAGACGAATGGTATTCTGTGCAATATTTAACATTTCAAAATTAATGCCGAAACTCCAAGATAAACAAAATATCAACCATTTAAATGCTGGTAGATCGGGAGTAATGGCTTTTGACTCAGCCTCGGCTCCCATGTACTCCACGCAACACTGTTACGTGTGTCTTCATTTAAAATGCTCATGTTTTGTTCTTCGTGGGATTTTTGCATTAAATCAGATTTCTTAAATACTGCTTTCTAACATGATTTCTTTGATTACTGATTTTCTGGAGCCTCCTCTAATTTTGCTCTAGATATAAATACCTTTGGGACCCTCACCCAGGCGGTTTCTGTAGGGAGGAGCTGACGAGCTGGAGGAGGGACGGGGAGGCCAGCGGAGCCCAAGGTCGGGGGACTGATGCCAGTGACCTGGGTGTGCTCCTTGATAGGGGCATTTACCCCCCGACCCAGCTATACCCCTACCACCCATCCTCACTGTGTACCAGTAGTTCTAGAAGCTTCTACCTTGTGCTTCACTCTGAGTTGACCCCAGGGTGATATAGACTCTGGCTAAAAGGCTCCGCATACAGGGCAGAATGAGCAGTAAGGACCCTGGCAAGTCCCCCACCAAGTGAAGGTGCCTGGGTCAGAGGATGATTGTCATTGTTGTGGCTCCTACAGGTGTGGAGATTTACTCAAAGTGCAGAGTGAAGGATTTTCCACTAGGAACAGGGAACAAGCAGAGAACACCAGTGCTGAAAAGACAGCAGAAGTTGATGGGGACCCATGAGGTCCTGACAACAGTGCAGAGATAATGGCGAACAACCCAGAAATACAGCCAATTCCTGGGCACAGTTGCAGCAGGGGCTCCAGGAGATGAACCAGGTGACCCTGTAGCGCAGGGTGGGGTCCAGCTGCCAGGAATTCAGCAGGTCCAGGAAGCACAGCTCTGCATGGCGGCGTAGCCTGGGCTCACAACCACCCTGTGAGAAAGAGAAAGAGAAGCGTGAGGTCATTTGTTGGGGACAGGGAGGGAGGGCAGGAGCAGGCGCAGGCTGGCGAGGCACTGGCTCCAGCGCAAATTTAGAGGGCACCGCATGCGGTGATCAAGACGAATGGTATTCTGTGCAATATTTAACATTTCAAAATTAATGCCGAAACTCCCAGATAAACAAAATATCAACCATTTAAATGCTGGTAGATCGGGAGTAATGGCTTTTGACTCAGCCTCGGCTCCCATGTACTCCACGCAACACTGTTACGTGTGTCTTCATTTAAAATGCTCATGTTTTGTTCTTCGTGGGATTTTTGCATTAAATCAGATTTCTCAAATACTGCTTTCTAACATGATTTCTTTGATTACTGATTTTCTGGAGCCTCCTCTAATTTTGCTCTAGATATAAGTACCTTTGGGACCCTCACCCAGGCGGTTTCTGTAGGGAGGAGCTGACGAGCTGGAGGAGGGACGGGGAGGACAGCGGAGCCCAAGGTCGGGGGACTGATGCCAGTGACCTGGGTGTGCTCCTTGATGGGGGCATTTACCCCCCGACCCAGCTATACCCCTACCACCCATCCTCACTGTGTACCAGTAGTTCTAGAAGCTTCTACCTTGTGTTTCACACTGAGTTGACCCCAGGGTCATATAGACTCTGGGTAAAAGGCTCCGCATACAGGGCAGAATGAGCAGTAAGGACCCTGGCAAGTCCCCCAGCAAGTGAAGGTGGCTGGGTCAGAGGATGATTGTCATTGTTGTGGCTCCTACAGGTCTGGAGATTTACTCAAAGTGCAGAGTGAAGGATTTTCCACTAGGAACAGGGAACAAGCAGAGAACACCAGTGCTGCAAAGACAGCAGAAGTTGATGGGGACCCATGAGGTCCTGACAACAGTGCAGAGATAATGGCGAGAGAATGTCAAGGATAGGTCAAGCCCAGGACACCAGGGCAGAGAGGACATGGGGAGAGTGACAGGAGAGATCAGGCCCAGGACACCAGGACAGAGAGAAAAGCAGAGTGTGATGGAGGACACAGTTTGTGCCGAGAGGGGCTGTGGGATGTCTTTGGTGAGGTCCAGCAGGTCAGGCAGTTATGGGGACTGGTGCCCTTGAAAGGACATCCAGACAGTGGGTGGGTCCTGCCAGGCCCAAATTTCCTCCTAATATCCTTAGCAGCCCCACACCCTGGACCAGAGCCCGGCAGAACTCGGCCTCTCCTGCCAGAGCCTGTCCTGGGCAGGGCTGGGGAAGAAGGTCCCTAGGGCTAGGGGTCCCCTTAGCCCGGCCAGTTCCTGCTCCTCCCCAGAAACCTGGAAATCCCTGACATCCTGATAAGGCGCCTGTTCTCCGACTTTCCTGTGGGCTCCCCCCCAGCCAGGACAGAATCTCAGGACGGCCTAACCTGCCTCTTCTCCTGCCTCTGTCTTGCTTCACCAGGAATACGCCCATGAGCAGATGCTGGGGCACCTGCCCTGTGATGTCAGGTAGACTGTAAGTGCGCGACTTGACTTGTTCTAAAGACGTTCTCTGTGAGAGTCCTTTTCAGGAGGAGAGTCCTGGGCAGGGTCCCCAGGAACCTCCTTGGCTTTGGGCACACCTGACACCCCCCGGTCCTTGTGCAGACACCTTTTCCTTCTGCCCCTGACCCCTCCTCGGGGGCACAACAGGAGGTGAGTGGCTGAGCCCTGGACTCAGGAGTGACATGAGGCTAGGGGGACCAGGCCCTGGAACATGTGACCAGTTTCTGATGTGGGCTTGAAGCCACCAAGCATGAGCCCGTGTGTTCACCTGAATCCAGTGCAGAGCATCAGCATCTGCAGGGACCAGAGGTGACAGGGACTATGGGACACCACACGTGCCACTGAGGGCCTCTACGTGAGACTGTGCCTGGACTGGGGAGGGCCCTGCCTGGTTGTGGTTGGGCTGGGAAGGTCACCTGGCTGTGCAGGAAGCCCTTGCGCTTCACCAGTATGATCCAGGAATTACTGTCAAAGAGCTCCACCTCATAGCACAGGTAGGTCCGGCGCCGCCCGACAACTGAAGTGTTGTTTATAAAGTTGTAGATGAATGTTCCTGGATTCATCAAGTCTCTGTGGAAAACAGTGGGAGAAATTCAAAGACAG